GGGGAGAAGAAGGAAGTTGGAGGGTGGGGGAGAAGAAGGAAATTGGAGAGAAGGGGAGAAGAAGGAAATTGGAGAGGGAGGGGGAGAAGAAGGAGAGGAGGGGAGAAGAAGGAAATTGGAGGGGGGGAGAAGGAAATTGGCAGGGGGGAGGGGGAGAGATTGACATACATCACACACACAATGCACCCCTTGCACACAGAAAAACAAACAATGCATTACACACAGACACACATACACAAGCAATGCATCCCTTACACACAGCAACACACAATGCACCCCTTACACTCAATGCATCCCTTACAGACGCACACACTGCATCCCATACATACACAAACTCACCTTGCAGCCCTTACACATACAAACACAGATTCACACAATGCATTCCTTACACACATCAGGACATACCCCCCACACACACTCCACCCCCTGTGAACAAACTCATTGGTGGAACATGAAGGTGGATCCTGGGACCCAGACGTTGAGCTGTGTAAAGGGCCCTCAAAAAAATGGAGCTGCTTCCCGTTGATCCCAGAACATTGATTTTTGTGACCACAGTTACAAACAGCCTCCAGAGAGCCTGTTCTACACCAGACCAGTGGAGCCAGACGGGAGCTAGAGCCCATCATTATCCTCATATGGTTGTAAGTAGGCAATCTAGTATATTATTTGTGGCACTAATCTCTAATTTACCTCACATTAAAGGGACACTATAGTCCCCAGAACCACTACAGCTTAATGTAGTGGTTCTGGTGTCTAGCCTGTCCCTGCAAGCCTTTTAATGTAAACACGGCGGCACGGCAGCACTGGTGTTAGTTAACATGGCAGATCATATGGGTGGGGCATTGTGATGTCACATGGGGGGCGGCAAACTTAACTTTTGCCTAGGGCGGCAAAAATCCTTGCACCGGCCCTGCAGACACTGCATTCCTGTGGGCAGACTCGGGGGGGGGGCCGCAGCACTTTGGGCAGACTCGGGTGCAAGCACCGGTGGGGCCCAGACCTTGAGCTGTGTCAGGGGCCCCACAATTTCTGATGGCAGCTCTGCTAGTGGCGGATCCAGAGCCTGAGCCTGAGAGGGGCACTTGTAGATTATTTAAAGAAATATTCCATGCACAATAACCACTACTCCTCTGTGTAGTGGTTATGGTGCCAGGAGCGTCGGCACCCCCTCCCAGAGTAAGTCGTCAAACCGTTTAAGAACAGTTTGACAACTTACCTGGAGTCTGCTGGGATATGGGGCTGTAGTAGGGTATAGGAGCAGTGGTGCAATGTGTGTGAAAGGTTCAGTGTGTGGGTGGGCAGTGTGTAAATGTGTATGGTGTGTGTGTGTGGGGGCAGTGTGTGAATGTGTATGGTGTGTGTGTGCAGTGGCGTACACATGGCCCATGGGGCCCCGGTGCGAAAATTGATCCATGGGCCCTCCCCCCGCGCTTACTCGGCGCAGGTCGGGGCCGCAACATATGGCGGCGGGCACCTGGTCGCAGGGGTTGCAGGGCTGCGACCCCACGACCGCGGTATGCACACACACTTAAAGGACCACTACAGACACCCAGATCACATCAGCTCAATGAAGTGGTCTGGGTGCCAGGTCCCTCTAGTTTTAACTCTGCAGCTGAAAACATAGCCGTTTCAGAGGGTTAATCCAGCCTCTGGTGGCTGTCTCATTGACAGCTGCTAGAGGAGTTTCCGCGAACGTCCATAGGAAAGCACTGAGTAATGCTTTCCTATGGGCGGTTTAAATGCGCGCGCGCCTCTTGCCGCGCATGTGCATTCGGAGCTGAGAGGCGGACACTGGGGAGTCCAACGCTGGAGAAAGGTAAATGCTGAAGACACACACTCTCACGAACAGACGCATACACACTAGCTAACAGACACACACATTTACTGACAGAGAAACACTCAGCGACAGACATACATACACACTCACTTACAAAACATACACTTTCACTGACAAACACACACTATCAGACATCAAACACACTCAGTAACAGACACACACAGTTACACACTCACTAGCAGACACACACACTAACACACGCACTAACACAAACAAACACTAACACACACACACTTACACACACACACACACTAACACACACACACACACTAACACACACTCACACACTCTAACACTAACACACACACACACATTTTTTTTTTTAAATTTAATCCCCCCAGCCTCCTTACCTTTTGGAGTGCTGGGGGGATTCCCTGGGGTCCAGTGGTGCTGCTGGGCTCCTGGGCGGCCGGTCACTGGGCGGGCGGCTGTCTGGGCGGGCGTGCGGCCGGTCACTGGGCGGGCGGGCTGGCTGTCTGGGCGGGCAGCCGGTCACTGGGCGGGCAGCTGACTGGGCGGGCGGGCGGCTGACTGGGCGGGCGGCCGGTCAATGGGCGGGCGGGCTGGCTGTCTGGGCGGGCGGCCGGCCAGCGTGCGAGGGAGCACTCTCCCCAGAGTGCTTCCTCTTCAGCTCCCTCGCGCGCCGCATAGGGATGCCGGAGCCGGAAGATGATGTCATCTTCCGGCTCCGGCATCAGTGCGGCGCGCGAGGGAGCTGAAGAGGAAGCACTCCAGGGAGAGTGCTCCCTCGCGCGCCGGCCACCCGCCCAGTCTGCTCCTGTCACTGCTGTGGCCGATGGAGGAGGAGCCTGTCTCTGTACCATGCTCCCTCGCGGTTCCTGGAACCGCGAGGGAGCATGGTACAGAGACATGCTCTGTACCATGCTCCCTCGCAGTTCCTGGAACCGCGAGGGAGCATGGTACAGAGACATGCTCCTCCTCCATCAGCCACAGCAGTGACAGGAGTGCCGCCGGACCGGGGAAGCTGCCACCCGGCCCGGTGGCTCCAGCCAGGAACGCAGCCGGCCCCCAGGTTCCGCTGCCCACCGGGAAATTTCCCGGTATCCCGGTGGGCCAGTCCGGCCCTGAAGGTGAAAGTGTGGGGGGCAGGATGTGGGGATGACAGTGGGGACGGACAGACTGACAGACAACATGCCCTCACTGATACATACACACTGATATACACTCACTGAAAGACAGTCATTATCTCACACACTGTTTAACTAACACACATGTTCACTGACAGACACAAACTGACATGAACACACTCTCAGAGACACATGCACTCATTGACATACACACACACACACACTAACTGTGTCAGTGTGTCAGTGTGTGAGTCTGTCTGTGTATGCACTGGAGGGGGCAGGGCAAAACATTTCTTGCACCAGGGCCCTCTCTATATTAGCTCCACCACTGAACCAGATATTATCAATAGTTCTTTACTATGTGCATTTATCTGAATATGTTACCTTCTTTTTCGTGGTGCATGTCATGACGGTCTCTAGACACGCATATTTAATCATGTGAAACAGGTCAGACAGCTCAATATCACTTTTCAAATCAAATGACATCGCCAGTCCACCGGTAAAGTTTGTAAAGGCTTCTGCAGGCACTCCAAAATGCAAGTTTTGATATGATCCAAGGAGCCTGAAAAAAAAGAGTGACTAAATGTACATTTTCAGGAAAAATTATTTTTATTGCAACCTGTGGGTTTTTTCCAAGTGTGTAAAAATACTGTTAATGCACGGCTGATTACCGGCTGATTAATTTCTGGATGATTATTCTTGGTGTACAAACCAATCTCATTATGTGGATGACATAGATTCATGTTATTGGGTAACTGAGCCACTAACTGTTGAATTTGAACTCAACAACCATTTTTTCACAATGGAAAAAAATTAAATAAAATAAAAAAAAACCTCAATTTACAAAATAATAGAGCTAAACAATATAATAAAATATTAATTTTGTTTATTAACAAGTTATTACAAATTTGTAAATAAACAAAATGGCTCCTTTATACTGTTTATGTGATTCTATAAGCCATGCTGTTTTTGATTATGTGATTAGTATTTTTAAAAATATTTTTTTTAAAGATGATACAAATGAAGAACATGGTTTTCAAAAACTTAACAGTATTGTTTTGCTTATGGGACATTTTAACTTTATTTTTATGGATATACACATCTGCAACCTGTGTACAAAAATTGAGGAATTGATTCAAAGATATCTAACTGTGTCCTCCAGACTGTTGAACTACAGCTCTATAATTCAGTCATAGTAGACAGAAATGTCTGAGATTTGTAGTCCAACAAAATCTAACAGTGATGGAGAAGCGTCATGCACCAGGTTTATTGAAAAGACCCCAACATTTTCTCAATGAATTAAGAAATTACTTTGCATAGGCTTTCTCCAAAAGGCAAGGCCATAATTCATTTTCAGTTGATGGTCTAGCAGACAAATGTTTTCCGTCTAAATATGGCAGCCTGTCATCGACTACGACATCCCACCACTCTCCAAAACTCCAGAACTGAAAAAGAGAAGAACATTATTATTATATTCCAAACTAATACAGCAGGTGTGGCTTTGAAGGCAGTTTAAATAAATTAAAATTGCAAAAACACTTCAATATACCAGAAAGCATTTTGGGCATTTATCAAACTGCATCTATCACCTAAAACGTAGCATTAAAGAAACACCCCAAACACCTAAAGCACTTTATCTTGCTGTAATGCTTAATATTTGAAAAGTAAGTCCTTTTTGATCATTTTACAAAACGTGCAAATTTCAATAGAAATTTACACTTTTGTAGATTAACCTTGTTACACCCCCCTTGCTGTCAATCAGACAACAAGTTCTGTTACTTCCTGGTTTGGTTAGCTCAGTGGAGATAAACTCAAGAGGCAGCTATTGCCCGGAGCACCTTCTCATTGAGTTGCATTGGGAAGTCTGTGATTGGGCATGTTTTCTTTGAGGATATATCTCCTTAATAGATATTATTTTAATGTATTTGGGCAGCAGAGTGTCTCTTTAACAATATGTTTACACTATTATATAACAAGAATGCACCTATGTAGACAACTCCACTTCCCCTCTGAATCTTGGTTCCTTTCATTACTGACCCCAGTTAGCACCTACATACTGATGGTATACTTAATTGTCAATGGCGGTCAAAGAGGGGGAGTCTGGTCGGGATACAAACTCAACCTGGGAAAAACTGAGGCACAACCAATTAATATCTCTACCTAAATGGCTGCAGAACTACAACAGACCTATCCATTTCCTTTTGAAAATTGAAGTATACACTACTTAGGCATGCAGCTCCCTGCAGACCTACAACTCACATACTGTTTAAATGATCTCCAACTACTCAAAAAGGCACAACAAGACCTGGATACTTGGTAGAAACTGTCCATCTCCTGGCTGGGACAGCCAGCACCTATTAAGATGAACTTGCTCCCACGCTTCCTATATTTGTTCCAGGCCCTCGACATCCCCATTTCCAGGACTGATTTCAAAACACTGCAATAACCCCAAATAGACACATTCATATGGGCAGGGAATAAAGACAGGATTAAATGGTCCACACTGTACATACCACAAGAAAATGAGGGACTGGGTCTACCCAATTTCTGGAACTACTAACAGGCAGCCCAACTGGCACAAGTGCAAAACCTGCATGCTCCAGCAGGGATGAAACTCTCAGAGGGTATCTCTACTAAGATGGACCCACCCACCTTGCTTCCTTTCCTTTAGTAAGTGAAAATGGGGATTTATACCGCCTACAAAGACGAAACATCCTTACTGCTCACATCCCATAACTTCACTAAACAAACAATAACTATTTACACTGCTGTTGACAATCCTATGCAAAAAATTGTACTTGAACTTCCAAACAAACTCGACACGGGTTACCCTATATCTGTACACACAATCTGCCTTACAGGGCTGATGTGTTTTGCAATGTATATAACAGAAAACAACAGACCCCTCGACTAACAATATTTACACTGTATAACATATGACCTCACTGCTTTCTGTAACCCTTGTATTTGATATATTGTTAAACTCTTTTTTACCACTGATGATTATATTGTATACCTTGCTCACACCTACGCATATTTAAAAAATCAGAAACAATTAAGAATTTAAAAAAAAAGAGGGGGAGTCTGTTTAAGAAATATTGCATTTTTCTACATGGATTTTAGACAATAACATAATAATGATGGGATAACCAAACTGAAAAACAAACTAACAAAAAAACACTAAAAAACATTAAAACTCGTCAGTAAAGCAGAGTGTGAAAGCCCATTGCCATGGTTAGAGATGTTTGACTAGTGAAGTAACTATTGACACTTTTTCTGAATTCATTTTGTACATTTGTATTAAAGGGATACTAAAGTTCCAGAAATTCAAAGCTGTATTCCTGGCACTATCGCTACCGCTGTCTCCCCCCTCCCTCACACCCCCACCTGGTATTTACTCACCTTTTCCCAGTGCCTCTGTCCCTCGGAAACTGTGTCCTGGCTCCGCCCCTTCTGACAGCCCATGGTGAGTGGGTGCTAATGTGCATGCACAGCAAAAACCTCCCTATAGGAAACCACTGAATCAATGCTTTCCTATGGTGAAAAATCTGACGCTGGCTGTTCTCTTGTCGTCCAATGTCAGATACTGGACCAAAGATCTGGAAGCCCTCAATTCAGGAAGTCCTCTTATGGCTGTCTGGTAGACAGCCACTAAGGGCAGACTTAGAGCTGCAATGTAAACATTGCAGTTCTCTGGAACTGCAATGTTTTATATTGCAGCACTAAGTGCAAAGGGTCAATGCTGATTACCGGCTGAAGTGGTCTGGGTGCCTACAGTGTCCCTTTAACTATGGGAATTAACTTTTTGAATGTCAATATTAAAGTCCAGTGTATTATTTTGCTAAAATAATCAAGACAAATTTATTTGTGCATGCTTCGTACATAATGGTCACAGGGGTTCAATTGACCAAGGATTCTAAAGTCAGAGTTTGCTTATGTGTTTTTTTTTAAATTTATTTACCTATATAGAGCAGTATTGACACTTAGGGATTATTCTAGCCTACATGACCGAATAATCTACATTCTATTAAAGACAGTAGGCAAATATGTGGTAGTTTCGGTAAAGAAGATTAAAGCAAATATAAAGCATCCTGTCTTGCCATAAAATTACCTGGATATCTAGAGATCATTTTTCTGTGAGTAATTGTTAATGGAAAAAATTTTTTGGTAAAAAGAAAATGTAAATTATTATTACCCGGAAATGGAAGATACCACTATAGCTTCGATCATATTCTTGATTTAATGGGAATATATTCTTCAGCAGGTTTTCTTTATAAGTGAGAGCCCCAAGAACTGATAAGACCCAGCAGTCACCTGATGCAATAACAAAAGTTAGAAGCTTTTTAACCCCTTAAGGACCAAACTTCTGGAATAAAAGGGAATCATGACATGTCACACATGTCATTTGTCCTAAAGGGGTTAATGTGGAGTAACCATATTGTGGGATAGAGTTATAATATTCACAGTGCAATGCAGAACGTTTGTAATAACTTTAGAATGTTTATAGTGTAATATAGAATGTTTGTAGTATGGTTTAGAATGTTCAGTGTGTGACATAAGTTTAGAATTAGTCATAGTGACATGTAGAATGTGTGCTGTATGTTCATATAGGGCAATCTAGAATATTTGTAGTAAATTTAGAATGTTTCCACTGAAATTTAGAATATTAGTAGTATTGTTTACAATGTTCATATTGCAATGGAGAGCGTAGTATAGTTTAGAACGTTCCTAGTGTAATGTAGAATATTTGTAGTATGGTTTAAAATGTTCATAATATAATGTAGCATGTTTGCAGTAAGTTTAGATTGTTAATTGAAATGGAGAATGCACATGTTGCCACTACCACCCCTCTAGAATATAATTTCATTTGAGCTGGTCCCTCCAAACCCCTCTGTTCCTGTGCGTCCAACTTGTCTGGCTACAAATACTTGTCTGTTAGTCTACCGATTGTACAGCGCTGTGGAATTTGTTGTCGCTTTATAAATATTATTCATAAGAACATATAAGTTGTATGAAATAATTCTTACCTAGTCCACTTTGTATAATGTCAAATAAAGAAATACCATCCACGACTAGACGAGGGCATTCACTTGGTTTCTGCAATAAATAAATACATTTGAAAACAAATCCATAAGAATGAAAGAAATACATTTGAAAAAAAGTAAAAATAAATAAATTACTAACTAGTCTTAACTAGAATGTTCTCTAAAAACAAAGATCCATTGAAAAAGTGAAAAGCACACGAAAATAAAGTAAAGGTTGGGACATGCATGTGTAGTCTAAATATGCTCAGTTATCCAATGTCTCAACGACACTTTTGTTAACCTTGATTAAGTCTAGAAATATCAAACTATATTTCTTTATTAATATGTGTAGAGAAACAATGCTAAATAATATACATAGACGTACAAAAGGGGTGTACTTGGTATGCGCAAACACATCCTGATACATGACAGACAAATTGTCGCCCCAGCCCCCACCACCTGTTTTGAAATCCCATGTACTTGTGCTTGAGTTTTTGATAGCTTGCTATGTTTCTAACATAATTCATGACTCACTCTATACATTTTCTTACTAGAGCAAAAATGTGTATTTTTTTTTTACATAATTTGAAAATTAGTATTTTTTTAGGGATAGGGTTAGGGATAGGGTTAGGGGTAGGGTTGGAAAGAGGGTAGGGTTAGGGGTAGGGGTAGTGGTAGGGTTATGGATAGGGTTAGGATAAAAGGTAGGTTTAGGGTTAAGGGTAGGGTTAGATTTAGGGTTAGGGGTAGGGGTAAGGATACAGTTAGGGGTAGGGTTAGGGTTAGGGATAGGGTTAGTTTTAGGGGTAGGGTTAGGGAATTGCCGAAGTCCCGAATTCCCAAAGTCCCGAAATTCCGAAGCTCTGAATTTCGGAAGTGCTGAACTGAACCGAAGTGCTGAATTGCCGAAATTGCCAAAGTCCCGAATTTCTGAAGTGTCGAACCAAACCAAATTTTTTGGCCATGCACATTCCTAATGCTCGAATGTGAAATGGGGAAGGCGTAAGCTAATAAATATTCCCACCTTCTTTGTTCCCATAGTGAGGCAAGTATATGAATAATTCTGGCTTAATGCATCCTATCATTAATTCTCCTTGGCAGTAAAGGGGCCTGCACTGTCTGCTGCCCTCTGAAACTATATAGAGTAAGACAAGATAAGGTAAAGGAAAAAAATGTCCTCCAATCTTATGCTGAAATCACAACTCTTCATTAGCGTAAATGTCGGATTCGAACTGGAACAAATGTTTTCTCTGTTACACAAAAATAGTCTATCTTGGCTGTTGCCTTGTTATGGCATACAACACCTTATCATTTCATGGCCTGACTTAGACCACACAAACTACAATTAAACACACTGCCATTTTGTTTTCATTTTGAGAACCATCTAGCATAGGGGCAATAAGATTGCCAAAAACCAAGCCATGCATTCCTCATGCTTTACCACCATATGTTGATCTATAGAAACATAATTCATCATTTTTACTTGTCGCAAATACAAAGACCTCCATGTCTTTTGCTACCTCTATCTGTTGTAAACTCACCGGCCTCTTCCATTCTATTTTACGTGATTTGAACTCGTTTTCCAGCTTTGGACCAATGCTTTTCATGTTTGCTGGGAATGTTTCATCTTCAAATAACACTTTGTTTTTCAGGTTAGTTTCTCGTAGAAATTCAAAGTCTTGATTTCGAAATCTCCTGGGATTTGTCGCACTTCCCATCTTGACACCTCGCAGATCCTGATGAGCAATGAGCTGCCCATTTTCTCTGGATTGGTTCATTGTAGCATATCAGATGGCAAGGAAAGATTTAACTTTTTAACCTGTGTACAAATGAAAAAAAAAATGTTTACTTAGAGCTGCATTAAACTCTCATGCAGAACTACAGTATTCATCGACAGAGCACAAACAAGATAACTACAAAGTGCCTACACATTTCCTATCAAATAGCTACTACATGTCTACACACGTCCAATAAAATAAGTACAAAGTGCCTACACACTTTCTATACCTTAGGACAGGACTAGATCTCCTGGTATCTGGTAGTGATTCTGCAATAGTGCGTAGTAATTGGAGGAGGCAATAGTTTAATCATTAAATTAAATGATTTTATCATTCTTGCAATAGACTGTTATGGGCAAATGCAAATATTACAAGTTTTAGAATGAAATGTTGTATTTCTTAAACTGTGTACTTTGTCTTTAAGAGATATTGCAAACTGACAAGGTGTTAGAAATGGAACATATTGTTTTTCATAGATGTTTCTTTAAACAATAACCTCAGTGCATAATATGTTTGCGCCATTTTGTCCCAGACGAATTACAATAACAATAATGCATAAACAAGCTTCAAGGCTATACTACGACTCTTGCAGTACACAATATACTGTGGTAACCCCAAGTTAATGGAACTTCCCCAAATCCGGGAATCTCCCACGACTGTGCACTTACGACTTAGTATAAACAACAGATAAGGATGTTCGGACTTTAAGATGCCATCTTGAACTAAGTCAGGAAATTTTCCATGACGTATACACCCTTTAGTTATGACCTTGTATGTTTGCCAAGTTAAGGAAGGTCCTAAAATGAATAAAGTAAAAAAAGGTTCTTTATCTCACATTATGAACGGCCTTGTAATTCCTATGCACACTAAAAGTTGGCTTTTAAATGTTATTGTTTTAACTTTAATATTTAATAGTTAATACGAAGGATAAAGTAATTTAAAGAAAGTATATTGAAAGTATATTAATTGATAAGATTTCATTTGTCTATTTTGGTCCACTGTTCACTGATCTCGAGTCTCAGTCTGGTGTTCAAACAGTTTTTCTTACAATACATCGTGAGTTTATATCCACAACTGCATTTTGCTTTGTGGTAATATATTGAAAGCCTGGCATTGTAATACGTTTATGGACATGCTTATAACAAAGCATGGGCCCTCTCCTCATGTAGTTGGTCATTAACAGGCACTTTGATGCAATGTGTCTACCAACGCTTTTCTGTGGTCACTGGATCACATCGCATACCCTATCTCTCAGTCATGATGCAGAGTTTATGCTTGCAAGGATATCCAGACCTTATCCACCTGGTATCCGCATAAATACTCCTATCGTTTAGAGGGGTTCATTACATTGAACGTAATATGTTGGTTGTTCTTCCCATAGAGGAAAGATAGACTTGCCCTAAAAGCTTTTTCATGGCTAGGACAGAGAGAGGTAATGTACTTCTGACTCCTGAAAAGGAATATTGGTGGCCCAATATGGGAAATACTGTAATTCATGTGTTTAGTAATGTTAAGCATTTGCTTATTGCCACATTACTGATGTACTGTTTATTGAAATATTAATATCTAACGTACTTTTTGAATTACTATATATTTTAAGTTTGCCAACATCTCATGGTTATAAATATGTTTTTGTATGTGTTGATGCATGTACCAGGTTTACTTGGATATATCCTGTGCGAAGTGCAACCTCTGA